GTACGGCACATCCGCTGTCCTCCGCGATATCCACGTCGACATCCCGAGGCATGCTAAAGTTGCAGTGGTCGGCCGCACGGGTGCCGGCAAGTCGTCCCTCGTTCGCGCGTTGCTGGGTCTTTACCCCATCCAAGGCACGATCGCGTTGGGCTCGGTGGACCTGGCGACCGTCTCCACGACAACGTTGCGCCAGCAAATACTCGGGTTTACCTTTTCCCGCATCAAAACGCTTAACATGATTTCGTGGACCGTTTAATGTGAACTCCGCCAATCCAGAGATATCATTTCATTTCCAAAATGGAAAATTATTCTGTAAATACTCACATGGCAACAGCATTCATGCACACTTCGAGATAGCAACACTTCCCTGCCTGGGAATTTTCGCAACAGACCACAACATTACTAGTACCATGAGGAAACGGCATTTCAAGATGATTGGAACACAGATAAATTTCATTGGTCGTTCACTGGGAGAATATCTATCATTGGCTAATAATCATGACATTGTGGCCAATCATTTCTATTTGAATCGCGTTGGCCAGGGAGTTCCCATCATGTCACCATGGCTCTCGACAGGAATGGAGAGCAGTGTGCTTGACACGATATGTGCATGTAAGTCCACGTAACATGGACTAAACACGACCCCTCGAGCGACCTCAATCTCTTCTCTGCTGCCGATATCTGTATGTCCGGTCTATGGATTCGTCCACACGGAAAGAGACTCATCCATCTGGGTTGTGCATACCATTGTACACTTGATGTTTGTATTGGAATTCAGCCCGCTCATATTAACATGTCTATAGACATTTCGTCTTCAGTCGTACACGTGCGTTTCCTTGTAAGTCAGATGACTGCGAAAAAATGCGAAGGCTGAGTCTTCCGAGGGATCATCCAAGCAAGAGCGTAAGGATTTGTGTCCGTCCGTGCGGATGGCGTGTCGTTTAAGCAGTCGATAGAAACCGCCCTCTTTACTTCCAGTCGACATTCGTCAAGATTAGGAATACTAGTAAATAACTAGTAATACTAACGGATGCCTTCGGGTGTTGAAATCTTGAGCAAGAATTTTGAACATGCGCGGTACCATCATGGACGTTGGAGTGAACTGCGGCGCCAAGAGGAAGGAGGCGACCACAGTGAACGCAAAGCTCCAGCGCAAACGAAGTTACAACCGTGAGAGATTACGACACAAGACACTTGCGTACAAGGCCGACGTGCTTGCATTAACCACAGAAATCGATCAGCTTCGGGCGACACTGGCGGCAATGATGTTCGACCGAAAAGAGACACAGCTACCGTGGCAAGATGTGCCACAGGTTTTCCTCAGCGACCGCGCTATGGTTGAGTACCAGCTCAAATGTCTGAGCAAGCAGGTGGTGGATCAGGACAAGCTCAATCGAATAATGATGCAGTGGTTGACGACATCGCAAACACCCATCCACGTAACTTCCTTCATGGGTGGAATCTATCTAACGCGACCTCAATGTAGCGATCACTCGACCCCAATGTGCTCACGTACAAGTACACGTCTCTCATGGCGGATTCATCGGTGCGATCCGTCGGTTTGGATTGGATATCGAAGCGTTTGTTTCGCAATTTGAACCCGTGGATGGAGCGAAGTCGTGTCGCAGTGTCCATGACGCCATACTACCGCGTCGCCGTGCATGAAGGCGAAGATCAATCGTATTATGTGCTGGAAGAGTACAAGCAGCGCGTGGAACCCATGGCGTTGGCACTCGTGTCGTCGATTCTGCACAGAATGTACTTCGAGTTCGTGGACGGCGATCAAGTAAGTGGATGTTGACCACTTTCCTTCACAAATTTTCATGTGGCTGGACAACTAGGTAGACGACGCCCAAGGCGACAAGCTACGGTACCTCCGCTACGCGTCGCTATACGGCCGAGCGCGTAACCAAATCTTCCACGAGAACATGCTGGTCCGAGCGTATGACGACCCCGTCCACTCCCGCTACGTGATCTTTACTCACAGCATATCGGATGACTCCAAGTACCCTCAGGATATTCAGAGCGACTGGACTGCATGGTTGGGAACGACAGAGCTAGAACAAGATCCTGATTGCTTTGTAGGGTCGTCGCCGAAGCTCTGTCTCCCACAGAAACAGTCATCCAACACGGCTACATCTCAAATGGACTGCGGCGGGGATCCCGACCCCTTACTTTGGAAGAAGAATGTCCAGCTCTAGAAAGGGGCACTTTTGCGACTGACGCCGACAAATTTACCAAGTTTGCCGAGCTCCAGCGAATGTACCGGTTGACCAGGCAGGTCGACGATATATTGCACTTCGATCGAGTTGCTGAAGATGTCGCAAGGGAAGGGCGATGAAACTAACGTCGATCCATCGCAACCGTCATGGGTCAGTCGGTGCGGTGCGACGACTGTGACTTTTCACACCTTCAAAGCCTCCAGCAGGTAAACTTAAACGAGCAAGTTTTCAACCCTGAAAGTGTGGACGACGAGGTGGACGGTACTGAAAACCCCGCGGATTCTCTCAGACCCCAACAGCATGTGGCACTGCGACCGTCTACGGCGTCCTTTTCCCATGGGATCCATCGGCAGTTGCTTGCCAATGCGGCCGCAGCCGCTCGGGTGTTCCGTGGTGCTGTTTCTCTAGAACATCCGGACAGGATACTTGGCCAATTGAAAATACCGCCGAGTGTTCGCTGCAAATATAGAAAGTGTGTTTGAAATGCATTTAAAATGTGTCGAAACGCTGGTTTGACGTTATACGAAAAATATTTAAAATACGATTGTGCATCATGATCAGTCACGTCAACAGTCAGTCATTGTTTTCTGACGTCGCCATCGCATGAACCGGAGGATGGCCAGAACAGTCGCGTCGGACGCCGCCGCCAAGAAGCGCGCGAGACAGGCCGTACATGCAGAGAACCAGCGAGCGCATGTGCTTCGTAGAAAGATGCGCACAGAAGCGCTCGAGGTCGAGGTCGAAGAATTGGCACGGGAGGCGGAGACCCTTGAACACCAACTCCGTTTGGTCCAAGCAGCGCTGACGCTGAACGAAGCTCGACCAGAGAAAGTCGTCAAAGAGTACGTCAACATGTTTCACTTTGGCGTTCAGTCGAGCCACCCCACCCAGCTCAAGTTCGCCCGCTCGATCATGCGCGAGGACTTGGTGGCGCACGGAATTGTCGGGTTGACGTTTTTTCTCGACAACTTTCGCCGCTACTGCTCCGTGCACTTGAACTTTCAAATGGACTACGTCGACAGTCACTTTGTCTACAACGACGAGTCCGACAACCGTGTACTGGGGCGTTGTGTGCTCCAGGTGATCGTCACGCAGCGCATCTCGCGCGGCCTCCTCGAAATGTACTACCCCCGCATCCTCAGTAACGAACCCCTCGTCCAACGCTTGATTGGTCAAACTATACGTGCCTCGGCAACGTCCGACTTGGTCTTTGACACATCGGGTCAAATCATCGAGTACAACGCGACCATGGAGCTCGTGTCGGCTTTTGTGAACCTCGTCAAGGACGTGGAAGTTGCCGCAATGATCGTGGAAAGCAACCGGTTGCATCCACGCTACTACGTTCGCGCGTAGGCATCCCGCGAAGCGGATCTCGTTTCGCCAAGTTGACATCGAAACCATCCTTTTGTATCACGTGCGTCCAGTAGCTTGCCGGGGTTGGGAGAGTTTCAGTTGTCTTGCGCTGCTTTGCACATCGACACACGCAGCGGTTTGTGGACTGCCGTGAGCATCTCCGGTCGGAGCAGCAACAGAGGACGGTGTGTCGAGGCAGCTCAGACACGTGGAATATGCTTGTCAAAAAGCCAATAATTTTGAAGCTATTTTGTCCGGTCAGAATTCCATCGGAACAGCAACTTCAACACCCACTTCCGTATTGATCTACTGAGTACTTGAGGTACACCCAAATATTTCTAAAAAATTTAAATAAGAACTTTGTATCGCTGTAGTGGTTGGTCGCCACCTCCGACCCCGAAACGGAACCCGACCTTCACACGTAGACGAGATGAGGCACGGCAGGACTGGAAGGGATTCGTTGGGCACTTGCGCGCTGATTATTTGCAAGCTACACGACGACTCCTGTCGCCTGGTTCTTGTAGCCGCTTCGTGCACTTTTGCAGAGGACGATGGCTTGGTAAGCAATCTCTTCCGTACACGTCTTCCAAGTCGGCGCTCCATGGCCCGTGGTTTTGGAATGACATGTAACGAGACCAGGAGGCTGCTGACTACTTCAACTGGACTGGATCTATACCTTTAATGCGCCATACTGTCGACGGCAATTACAATTCCATACCTGAGCTACATTCAAAGTGACTTTTGTCTGAAAAACAATGGCCAAAACCTGTTGACAAACCTCTGATACATACAGCCATCGAGTTACCGGACTAGCCACAAGGACACATTTTTTCAATCAATTGTGTTCGCATTCAAATTTGCAATAATTTCGACATTTCCATTCAAATGCTAAGAATAGTTTTCGACAAACAAGACCGCCGATTCCATTCTGCAGTTTTTTTGTAATTTTTGGTACAGGAAATTTGGACTAAAATATTGGTAACGGGTGGGTTTTCGCCAATTCGGCCAAAATTAGACCTATGCAGAACATGCTGGCCAAAGCGTCGTCCATGGGGGCGCAGGCGATGGAGATGGCCAAGCCCATGGCAGCTACCGCCAAGGAAAAGGCTATGGCCACTGCATCGATGGTTCAGGTGAAAGCTACCGAAGCCAAAGCGGCGGCCCTTCAAGCAGTGAACAAGCCCGAGGTGAAAGATAGTGCGTCTGTCAGCGACGCAGACAAAGCCGATGAGTCTGTCCCAGAGTCCGAGTCGGAAGGACTTCTCAACGATATGCAGGACCAGTGCAACTGTTTTCCAAACTTGTCCAAGAAACAGCGCATTCAAGCGGCGGTGGCATGCTATGCTGCCGGCGCCTTTTTCAGCTTCCTCGCGACTCTGTTGATGTTTGGTGGGCCACGTCATGTGAAGGGCTTTGCATTCTTCTACACGATGGGCAACATATGCTCAATATCATCGTCGATGTTTCTCACGGGGTTCAAGAAGCAGTTCACCGTCATGTGCCTTCCCATCCGACGAGTGGCGTGCTGCATCTGGATCACGACCATGATCCTGACGCTGGTGGTGGCTCTCACTATGTCCCGGCCAGGACTGCTTGTATTGTTGCTCGTATTCATCCAGTACTGCGCCATGCTCTGGTACGGCGCCAGCTACGTCCCATACGGTCGCGCGCTGCTAAAAAAAATCTGCGTCAAGGCGGCGTCATCGGCATCCAACGCAGTTTAAACTATTCATCATTTATGCGCGTTGATTTAGCTTTTTGCGCCATCACAACCTCGATCAGCTACCCAATCCATTCGAACGCTATAAATCGAGCAGTTTGGTCCCGATAGGAACGCAGCGAATACCGCACACACTTGCGAAAGCAATGTCTTTAGTCGAGTCCGGACCGATTCGAATCTCCAAAACTCCATGCGAGGCTGCATCCCGCATCAACGACTCAGCCGCGTGAAGAGCCTCCTCTAGTCGTTCCTGGACTCCGCAGCGAAGGCTGGAGAGAATCGACGACGCCCGTTATTCTTTGCGCCGCCCTCCGAGATCGCTCACTCTATTCTATTATTCTTACACGACCCTGTCGTACACGTAAAACGGAGCGTCCTTGGCCCACGACACGCCAACTTTGTCTTCGACTGGCGGGTGGGCAAACCCAACGCAAGCGCTTTCGTGACGTCCGCATCGCTCGGGCCTGTGTCGCTCGCAGAGCTTTCGCATGCTAACGACGCGGCGGAGGTGCTGCATGTCGCCAAGGATTTCGAGCACTTTCGTCATGAGTGCTGGCGGAAACACGACGTTGTTGATGAACACGACCGTCGCGTCCATCAAGTTGACTTCCTCCGGCGGAAAACACAAATCTCCATGGACGATACGAACCGTCTTGTGTGGTACGATGGAAGGGCACATGACGGTTGCACGGTCGAGCGCGCGGTGGCCTTCAGAAACGCGATTTAGCATCAGCTCGATGCCCTTCGAAACTCGACACGGTGTCTGCAGCGCCACGTGAAGCACGATCTTGCCCGTCCCGCATCCGAGGTCGTAGAACACGTCGTCCGCATTTAAGTCGAGGTACGGCATGATGAGTTTGGAAAAGTCCTTCGCATCGATCTCGCCATATGTGCACATGCGCCGCAAGTCCGCCGCGTCGGTGGTTTCCACGAGAGCAGACTTTTCAATCGTCGCGGTCTCATCTCGGATAAAGTCGTCCGTGACACGGTACATGGCGCGATCGTCCTTTTCAACCTCGGCAAATGCCTTGTTTAACATCTATCGGCACATTCAGTTCGAGCGCAACAGGGACGTAAAAGCACCTCGATTGCTTCATCGTGGCGAAGAGGCGCCGCTGGAACTTGAGACTTGGTTGCCATGGCGACAGCATCTGCAACAGCAACCTCATCAAAACCAAATTGCCATCGAATGAATCAAACTTGGCTCACGGTCGTCGCTGTAAATGCGGATCAAAGTGGATGAGCCTGCCTTGTGCCGCCCCGCGCGAGTGTTCTTTCTGTATTCTACCATCAATACCTTTCCGTCAGTCGGCTAGCACGCGTACGAGGTGTTTGGGCTCACTAGGACTGATGGATTTGTCGATGTCGACTGAGGTGCTGGTGACGAGGTTGACGACTGAAGTGGCTGGTGAAGCTGACGAAGCAGAGCCTAGTTCACCACGCACGCATTTACATGCCTTGGAAACAACTGCCAAAAAGCACGCACTCGTGAGGTCAATCTGTAACGGCGTAATGAGTCGGCCTGACCGCCTCGGCTCCGTGCGTTTCTTCACTCTCACGGGTGTATTGCCAGTGGGCATGCGCTTTCTTTTCTCCGCTTCGTCGTCGTCAACTTCGACGACTGTCGGAGGTGAGGACTCTATCACATCGACAGGAGGTGTCGCATCATGCGAAACCATTGATGGTTTGGTATAGAAAACCGACGGCTTCGTGCCAACCGCGAATGACTTTGATGAGGTAGCACCGTCCGGCTCGACAGCACGCGAAGGTATACGGCGTGTCATCGTGGCACCAGTCATCGATCGGTCCGGTGCTTCGTCCGCCGCCACCGCCAACGTTGAATTCCTCGTTTGATTTTTCAAATCCGATTGCATTCATGTGACCGACCCATCAGGTCTGCCCGGAGTGTCCGGATACAATAATTCCGGATAACAGGACCCGGATCAAAATTATTCGGAAAACGCACCAACCAAAACCTCATTGAACATGTCCGTAGCACCAAAGGACGGATGGGCATGCTTCGACGATAGCGACGACGACGAAGGAGTCGCCGAGACGGCGGTGCACGGATCCGCCACGTTACTCGCTGGACGCATCTTCACCGAGATTGCGCGGCACTATCCTGCTCGGCAAAAGGCCCATGCCGTGGACTTAGTGCTACGTCCAACAGCCGTCATTGTTGCGAATGCCGAGATGCAGCAGCTTTTGGAACAGCGGCTGACCGATGCAGGCTGGCAGCTTGTGTCTGACGTAAACAAGGTTGTGGATGTCGTCGTGGACCTTGTTTCGTTTGCACAGGTGAGTGCCATTTCCGGCGAGGCTGCGGCGAAGATTGCCGAGCGTCTTCACGACCGTGTGCTCCCCGGTGGCCTGGTCATCACTGAAATTCCGTCGAGTGTCTCAGTCGATTGGACGTCTGAGCTATGGAGCACATCTCAAACGTTGTCATCGTCTGCGCTGATGTTTGGTTCGTCGAAGTTTGAGCAGTTTGCACTCACTCGTCGAGCGGGGGTCGCCAACTCAGTGCACTATCGAATGGACCCACCAACGTCTCTCGCGCTTGACGTCGAACGCCAATGGATTGACACCGTCACTATCGGCCGCACGTACAACGAGCGGCAGCATGGCGTGTTGTCCGTCGAATCGCATGAGCGAGCCGTTCGCGTCCTTCGGGACTACGGTGTCGTCATTCTCCGTGGCTTGTTTGACCCTGACACGGTTCGAAAATGGAGCGCCGCGGCGCTGGAAGACTTTGCCGATGTCGCGCGCATTCTAAAAGAGCGCCATGACATGGACGTGTTCAAACCAGGCGAGAAACCGCCTCGCCACAACTTTGTCGAGTTTGCAACGCGAGAAGCGTTCCGGTGCGATCTCCGGCACACCCCTCGACTGACCAAACTTCGCGAAACCCATCCCGACCCATCCGACCGGACGAGTCGCGAAATCAACCCACGTCATCCTGTTGTGCTTGCCATCTTGGAAGACGTGGCACAACCAGATGGCGGTCCGCTCAATGCAGGCAACTACGGACTGTGGAATTTTAGCTTTGGTGGACCCGGTAGTCGCCAGCCACTCATCCATGGCGACGTCGGCGCCATCGTGAGCACTCCCGGCTGCTTCAACCAGAAGATACACGCCGACATTCCACATCTGTTCAACACACTGGACTTGCCGCCGCACCTCCTCCACATGTTCCTTCCAGCCTGCGAAGATGGAGGGTTCGACGCTGGCCAGACGGCATTTGTGCTCGAGTCGCATCGCCTTGCAACGTGCGCAAGGATGATGGCTGAGGATGGACGAGGTGTCGAAGAGTGTGTGGTCAAGACGATCCGACCGCACCTTGGCCCCGGTGATGTCGTCGTTTTCGACTGCCGCGTCCTGCACTTAGGGCTGGCCAACACGACTGCTGCTCGAGGAGCTGAAGTTGAAGGCGTGCGGCGGCCGATTTTGTACGTCAACTGGCACGCGCCATGGTTCGAAGACAAGAAGAACTGGGAACCCACGTCGTTGTTCCAGTAATCCGACGCACCGTCATTGCCTGCTTCGGTGACGTCATAGCAAAATTCAACGCTGAGAGACAGCTAGCAAGTGTAACAATGGGAGATCCTCGTATTCGAATTCGATCTTACGTTCAGGCGGCGATGCCATGGCAGCATGCAGTGCAGCGACTGCAGCAAAATGCATCGAATGACGACATTGTGTGTGCTAGGCAGGGCGGGTAGACATATCCACACAGTTACTGGAACATGGTGCGTAGCTTGTGTTCGAGTGCGCACAACGCGCCGAGGTCTGCGTTCCCCAGGAGGTCGGAGAACGCTTCGAGGACTCCTATCCTTGGCACGTAGCCTTCGATGCAGCCGAGCGAGTCAAACTCGTACAGCTGGATCACGATCATTTCGATCATTTGGCCAAGGAGCAATTGCACAAGCGCCTCGTACTGGAACACAAGGGGGTAGTACAATTCGAGCATCTTGCGTGTGATGCGTTGAGAAATGATCGTCTTGAGTTCGCTCACGAGCACGGCCCCTGAATCGTCCAGGATGTTGGCGGAACTGACAAACTTCATCCGGTAGTTCATGTGAATGGAGGCGTACATGCGGTGGGCACTGACGAGCTTGTCCACGCCCTTGGACGTGAAGGTCACTCCTGTGATGTGGAGGTCCTCGCGCATGATGGACCGAATGAATTGCTCCTGCCTCTGCCCTTCGGATTTGTTCTTGTGGTCGAACCCAAACTCAAACAACGTGCAATACTCGAACATGATCTTGGTCGAGTAGCGGTCGTTTAGCACGGTGGCTTGCATCGGGTAGTCGAGCATGCAGTCGCGTTTGCCCTCGAGGCGGTGTATGTCTCGCTGAATGTCTCTTACTTCTTCTGCGAGGCGTTCTTCTTTCCGCCGCGAGCGCCGGATGCCACCGCGGCCCCCTGCTGAGCCGGCACGTGGGCTTCGCGCCATCGTCGTCGTGAAGGGGGTAGCAGACTCCGTGTCATCTGCAGACGATGCAGCCAGCGCCGACGGCCGTTTGGAAGGTACCGCTTTCGCCTGCTGCTGTGCCATTCCACTCGACAAACTGTCCTCCTTTGCGTGTGCTTTTGCTGATCTGGCACGTGGACTTTGCGTCATCATCGTCGTGGAGGGGGTAGCAGCCTCCATGTCTTGTGCAGACGATGCAGCCAGCGCTGACGGCCGTTTGACAGGCCCCGCCTTCGCCCGCCGCTGTGCCATTCCACTCGACAATCTGTCCTCTTTCGAGTGTGCCTTGTGCGTTTGACCAATCAGAACGCGACGGGGCCGGCGAAATGCATTAAAACGTAGTTTAACGTCGATGATGTGATCCACTTGGTCCAGCGAACGGGACGGGGAGATGCTTTGTTCGTCAACACACAACTAATCGTACGTTATAGTTAAAACTCGTATAAATTACCCTGTTCCGCGGCCAATGAACGAGATAAACGATCCGTCCGATTCCGCTAAATTACTTTTCCAGCGTTAAATGAGTAAAAATGCATATTCATCTCCGGTTGACCACTGATATTCCGGATAAAGGAGGTCGATGTCGCGTATTTCTGCAACCGGACAATCCAAACGAAAACTCGGTCGTGGGGATGGGCGAGACGGAGGAATACACCGACGGTGTTGGCGATGCCACGTCGGTCGCTGTCCGTCACGCAACAAAGCGCCGACGGCGTGTCACGACCGACGACGACCTCGATGCGAAATTATCGAGCCTTGAACGCGCCGTGTACGAGTTGGATGACGAAACCGGTCGCTTAGAAGGTAAGGCCATGGTCCTCGCCCGGATGCCGTGGTATTCGACACGCCTGCACGACCAGCAATCGTCGAGGGTAATCCATGTGTACCTGCAAATGTTTCAGTATGGCTTCAAGATCCACAACCCTGTCGATGCGGTGAAGCAAGAACGGTTTCTACGATCGGTCTGTCGCGATGACATGGTGTTTTGCGGCGGCAATTGGAGCACGCACGGGGTGGACAAGCTCATTCATGCGTTTCGGATTTACAGCTCGCTGCATCCGAACTACATCATGCACCCCAAATACTTCGAAGTCGTGCGCAACGACGAAGACAATGGCGACGTTGTTTGCGACGTTCAATGCACAGTGTCCCAGCGGCTCACGCGGGAGACCGTTGCTGTCTTTTTCCCTCACATCATGAACCAGGAACACTTGGTGCAGATACTTGTCGGCCGCGACATCCTTGTCGACACAAATGTTTCCTTTGGCTTTACACCGGCCGGCCTCATCGATGCGTTCACCGTTACCATGAGTCGGGAAAAAGCGTTCGCCCAGCTCCTGGGGGTTGAGGCGGCTGCCATGTTGGCCGATGGCCAGCAATACTTATCCCTCGTAACTTAACATTGAGAAGAAGAGACATGGTGACATTTGACCTCATGCGACTTCATGACATGTTTCGATAAAATATGGAAAAGGCCGTAGCGTTCATGATGGGGTCGTGCCGTCACATGGAGCTTCCCTGACGCCAAGCGAGGCTACCGTGCTCTGCTGTCGCCCTCAAGTCTCTTCACAACGAAGTTTGTGGCTTGGCGTCGCATTGCCTTTCTGCAGTGGCCGGTTCCAACGTAACAATAGGCGTCGATGAGTGGCTAATATAGATTCAGATATAACCAATCGAGCATCGTGATTATTAGTTGAATGGTTTTCATTGGTAGAATGAAGGTTTCGTCAAAATATACAGATTTTATGAACGAGAAAGTGCTATCTTGAATGAATGTGTGTGTCATCAGGGATGCCACTTTCACTTTGGCTTACAACCGGAAACATGGGCCAGGCGAGCGCCGCGATCGGTGCCGACATTGTGGATGCCCACCACCACTTTTACGACACCAACGAGAAACACTACTCGTTCCTCAAGTCGTTGGGGGCATCGCCATACCTCCCTGAACAGTACGCCGAAGCTGTCGGCGAGATTCCCATCTCTCGGTCGGTCCACATTGACGCCATGCCGGACAGTGGCATTGCGGAAGTTGAGTGGATCGAAAGCCTCATCGCTGCCGGACGTGCCCCCACCGTCGCTGCAATTGTCGCTGCGGTCAATCTCGCGGAAGAAGACGTTGATGCCCAACTCGCTGCGATCGTTGCCGCGTCGTCGAAAGTCCGAGGCGTTCGGTTCATGGTCGACTACGAAGGTCCGTTCGACGGTGGAAAGAACGCCACTCACATTGCTGTATCTCGTCACGGAAACGACTACATCCGTGATACGTCGGGGCCTGCACAAGCATTCGAGCGTGGGTTTGCTTTGCTCGCCAAACACTCCCTCTCCTTCGACTTGCAGTGCAGTCCGTTGCAGTTGGATGCCGCCGCCGCGCTCATCTCGCGCCATCCCGACGTACCTGTCGTCGTAGATCATTTGGGTAAGGTGCGTCATCTCGCTCTCGATGGAAGCGATGCTGAAACCAACAAGCTTGCCGTGTGGCGCGCGGGAATGACCAAACTCGCCGCGCTACCCAACGTGTACGTCAAGCTGTCCATGTTGGGTTACGTGGTACCTGGCTGGCATGAAGATGCAAAGAAAGAAGCATTCGTTCGCGACTTGGTGCGCGAAGTCATCGGTCTCTTCGGTGTCAACCGCTGCATGTTTGCCTCCAACTGGCACCAGAACGGCGCCGCCGCCAACGCCGACGGCATCGATGCCACCGGCCCCACCATGCCCGAACTCTATGCGAGTTTTCACGAGTGGGTGTCCGAATTCTCCGAAGCCGACCGACGCGCGCTGTTTGCCGGGACGGCTGCCAAGTTTTACCGCATATAGAACGCAGCAGCCTATGCTTGCGACGATGAATGCACAGCTCAAAATATCTTTGCAAGTCGTCTCCTTCATGGCACGTTCTGCGCATCGTTTGAGCACTTGGTGGAGGCCTCGATCCAGTGGCAGACTGAGTCGTAGAGCGGCCGCACGAGGTCCGATGTGGCTTTGTTGTCGTATGCATAGCTGGGTATCCACACGACGCCATGATGCAACACACGAAGGAAAACGGGGGCGTGGCGGTGCATGTACTGGACATAACCGCGCGCTTTCCACGTTTCCGGGCACGTCTGAGGTCGCCGTTGGCCGGTGGTGTGTCTCTGGGCGGCGGGCGACGGCTGGTGCTTGGGCATGAGTCCATGGCCGATGCCGCCATTGTCTGCGACGTGTGCGCCGTCCAGGACAAAGCCCCACCGCAGACACTGCGCGTGGATGCTTCGTCGAGGCGAGTCGGCGTCATTTCCGTCGCCGATCGTGGTTGCCACGAACGGGAGCAGCACCGACGACAGACACGGATGGATGTGGAGGTGGTGGACTTGAGTGAACTCGGGCACGCGGCGCAGGTCCAGGTTGGCGTGTTTGCACTTGCGCCGCAATGTCGTCACAAAGTCGTCGACAACCGTCCCGCTGCACGCTAGCCACCGTACGTCCATGTGAAAGTTCACGTTCGGGTACCAGTCCACATCGACGAGGAGCATGAGCCATTCGTTTCGGCAATCGATCTCCATGCGGGCAGCCGTATTGCAACTCACGCGGACAAATTGCCGCGCCACGTTGGTCGGCGCGCACGTCCGTCCATCGACCGACTCGGGGTGCATCGTGACGTGCAGTGCGTCGTCCGTTCCGAGCTTGGACTGTAGAAAATCCACGAGCTTTTGGATCTTGGCGTCGTCGCGGGTCGACGACGGCATGACGACGAAGCGAATGCGACGGCACTTGGTGCCTACGTCACGGTGAACAGCGATTTCCAAAGCGATCGCAGACTCACTGTCGCCCATGGCATCGACGTAGCCACAGAGCAAGTTGTCCGTGGTGTTCCAGTTGTCCTCGGGCGACGGAAACTCGTGGAACGTCTGGAGTTGTTTGTGGAACGATGCAGTGAGGGGGTCGTACAGCGAGTACTCGTACACGAACGGGTGGTTGTCGTGCGTCGCAGTCTTGAGCCGTTTGTGATAGCACTTGACATCGATCGTTTGTTGGATGTCGTCGTAGATGAGTTTGTGGATTCGGTGGCCCATGCTTAGAGTGTACGTTTGGCGGTGGGGCGCGGCACCGAGACGCACCAGCGCCGCCTCGCCGGTCATGTCACCAGTCGCTTTTGTTGGTTGCTCGACCAGCTGGAAGTCACTCGCGAGGCGTTGGCAAATCATCTCGACGAGGAGCTGGTGTGTGTGGTGCCCCTTTGTTTCAAGTAGCATGAGCGAATAGAACGACTCGGTGTAGTTCACGTGGAGGTCCTTGGGGTAAAAGTCTGTCGTGAGGGGAAGGACGGCCGGGTTCACGAGGGACTTCCAGTTCGGTCCGACGATCGCGTTACATTCTGGCGTCCACGGGAAGATGTGGCTCCACCGACGGCGATTCGACGTGAGTTTGCAGTCGCTGCCATCGGCGGAGGACGTCTGGAACGGCTCACACGGCGCTTTCGGAGGTTTCCCAGGGCGTGGGCACATCCATGCGGATGGCATGGGCGACCCGTTGGTCGTTTCGATCGATGGGTGTCGAGAGGTGCGTGGGCTGGTTAAGTCGGCAGCGCTCCGGTTGCTCTTGAGCATGAAAGGGCCCGTCGAGTCAAGCGACGACGACACAGTGAATGACGGATGGTGCTGAGGACTCCCCAGCTGAGGCAATTGATGAATGGAGATGCCGTCCGGCGGGCTAAACGAAGGACTGCGGCCATGCAGAGCCGTGCACGTGCCATCGCTGTCCACATGGGCGTTGGGGCTCAGCGGCCCCGATAACGAGAGCTTGGACTTGTTGAGTTTCTGAAGGTTTTGCATGCTTACGACACGTTTGCGTGGCTGCAAGGGGATGCTGTTGGCGACCTCGTCCTTGTCAGAGAACGACATATTCTTCGACTTGAGCGGGACAAACATGGGCTGCGTCCCCGACGGATCGACGGCGGTGCGGACTGGCGGCGCCACTAAAAACACGCTGTCGTCGTATGCCTGAACGTCTTGGTTGATGTCTTGGTCGATCGTGCGATGCAGTACCTTCGACGGCAGGATGGCGGAATCGTTGGAGAAGGTGCGGGTGCTGGCGTCGTTGTCCGCGTTGGCCAGGATGTTAGTAAGCGGGACTGGCATGCGCTGGCGATTGAGCATTCGGCAGGCTGGCAACGGAAGAAAGCTCGTCGGACAGTCAGCAATGTAGTCTCTGGAAATGACACGGCAGTGGCACCGCATGAGACTCTTCTTGGCTGCGCCACACGTACAGTCAAAGTCGAGGAAGCTCACGTTGATCCAATGCGGCACGCTATACTCTGTTGGTGTCGGCAACGAGTTGTCCCCTTTCGACAAAGGTGGATTGCTCCATCGGAAGAGAGGCACCGGATGCAGCGGCGGCGTCGTCAAAGATACCATGTCCATACCGACGCCCGTGTCCATCATGCGCTGCTTGGTGATTTGCGCCAACCGCTTTGGGACGTGAAACACCGCCGCACCGGCAGTCAGCATCACAATGCCTTGCCCCGCGCGATTCAAATCTCGATCCATGTAGTGTTTGTCGAGCACGTTTAGCGTCACGTTGATGGCTTCTAGGACGTTGCCTTCCGCCGCGCGCGCCGGTACGCCGTGTGGAAGCGCCAGCCATTGTACAACTACCGCCACGGCAACCATGATAAACGCTTGTTTCGACGTGATAAGAGTACCTCCCGTCGGTGACACGACGTAGCTGGCTGGCCGTTTGCTGGCGGGAACGCGCCATCGGTGGCGTTCTGGGTACGATGCGAACTCTGCTTGAAGAAGGCGAATCAAGACCGTCCAGTCCGGACCAGTGTAGTCTTGAATGAGCACCTACTCGTTGGGTTACCTATCGTCGTTCCGGATGGGCTGTACTTTGTAAAAGTCTTCGTAGTATCGACCACTGCAGCTGTCGACGTGCATGGCAGGACCATGACCATGGGCGGCAGAGGCTTGAGCGCCCGGGCCAAATGCCTGGTGGCTGCATTCGTCGGCAAAGACGGGAGCCGTCGGATCATAATCGGGGGGGAACTGGTCCGCGTCGTAGAAGCTGCGGGAAAACACGAGCACCGTGACGGAGTGGCTGACGCTGGCTTCGTGCCACTTGGCCACGAGCGCCCGGACAAACCGATGAAGGAGTTTCTCAAAGTAGATTTCGCCGTCGTCTGCAAAGTCCCACATTTCGGGACTCATTTGCACGAGCCAAAAGATGCGGCTCGAACGAGATCGAAGAATGAGCTTCGTGCTAGTCCCCATGACCCCACACAACACGTTTTCGCCCTTTGCAAGTAGCATCTCGACCTAATGGGCACCACCAAGACAAAACAGTGAGCCACATGAGTGGACATTATGGATGGAAGAGCCGTACAGTACCTGAGCTCGAGTGTCGAGCGCCTCGTACGCCTTGCCAGCAAAGAGGCATTTTCCAAACATAGCTACCTAGAATGAGCTGCTCACCGCGACGAAGATGGGAATGGCGAAGGAGGAATGTGTACTTTATATCGCCACAGATCCGCGCGAGACATGAATTGATCCTTGAACGAGAGCTCGATAAAGTCGACTGTCGCGTCGGTCGGGTCAATACGCTAGTAAGTGATGATGAATGGTGACGCTCTCGGTTTGGGCACGTCGTGTCCGTGTACTTGAACCGTGACTTCATGAAATGGGTCGAGCTGGAATTGCAGTGCTAGATCTTTCAAGATGCTCACTTGGAGTTTGCCGCGAATTGGAGCAAGGGTGCGCACTTGCATGACTAGTCGAAGATGCACGCGGTCCGGCTGGATGATTTCCACGATGTCGCGCACCTACGCTATGCATGAGTGTGGGACGGACTCCGATCCCAGCGCGACCAACTTGGAGGTACAACCTTGAGGTCAGGAAACGACTCTGGGTTCACAATGAGCTCTTCTCCGTTGCCATATTCAGGGCCGTGGACCATGAGCTTATATGCGGCATTTTGACGCCTGCTCGATGTGCGAGTGGCGCTCGGGCGTCGCGCCGGCAGTTTCGTCATCGGCCGGAGTTGAAGATTGCATCATGCATGGCTTGACGAAAATTCTCAACATTAGCCAATCCGAGTGCTTGAAATCAAATTATTTTAGCCAATCAAATGAAGCTATGTATGCCTTGTTTTGTTCTCTTGGTCAGTGTTACCATGCATGGCCGACGACCGTTCGGGAACATGCCGCGCCATCCTGGTGGCCGCGGACTGCGCAACAATGGTGTCCTGCTCATGCTAGCCATGCAGCTGCTTGGGCAGATCCAGCAACTCGAGCGAAAGCCACCTGTAACGCTGCTATTGATGGGTACGCTCCACCGTCATCGCACCTCGCTCGACTGATGTCGTCCAGGCGGCATGGTTGGGCTCTTTCTGTACCAAGGCCATCCTGGGATACCCACCGCCCGAAAGTATGCCTTGTACGTGTGCATTGGACACTAGATTCTTGTCGACTTGCGTGACAGTCTCTTGCAGGTGTCCCGACATCATCGTCGAGAAATATGCGCTGTCGCGGCTAATTGTGTCGGCGTTCCTTCACGTGGACGAGTGGCACTTGTACAACAACATGTTCGTTGGCATGTTTTCTCCTTTTAACGAAACATCACGATATGTACGCAGGGCATCCTTCCTGTGGAAAGGAGTGCAACTGGAATTCCATGTCGGCAGCGAACGATTCGCGCGAATGATTGGGGTATTGCTCGTGATGTCGCATGTACTGGCTGTTGTGGTGGCGTATATCCTGTCAACCTTCATGGGCAATTCCGTACGTGCTGCGCCGTTCCATAGTTCACAGCACATCCATCCTCTCATTCACGTCATCCTCTTGGACAGAGCTACATCCATCAATGTGCAATTGGGTTTTCTGCCGTCTTGTTTGCGCTCAAGGCACGCATGAACTTCCACCATGCCGCCACTTGACATGTTATTCCAGGTTGTGCTGAATCAGCGCTCCCCCACATATTCGACCATTCTGGGCATTTCATTCCCGACCAAGTATGCGGCATGGGTGGAGCTCGTCTATCTGCACTACTTCGTTCCTGGATCTTCCTTTGTGGGCCATATCGCAGGTATCGCTGCAGGTACGATCGCTGACAATGTCCCGTGATCTTTAGTCTGATTTTGTCGGCTCAAAGGCTATCTCTACCTCTACGGATTGTCCGCCGTCCCGACGAGAGCAACGACCATTCCTGGTGGAACCCGCCGACCTGCGTACACGTACGCATCTGGGCGCGCGACCAACTCGACACCGTCGACCGAGTCTGACGAAGAGTATGCACGACGGCTCCAAGAAGAAGAGTTTCGCCGGCGATGAACATCGGTCGAGATTGCCCATCGCGACAAATATTGGAATCGTGCTTCCTTTTATGCCTAATGGAGGGTCCGTTGAAGGGACAGTGACAATGTACACAGGTCCAAGACGTTGTCCACAGTTCTTCATCGACGTACCACCCAACGAATGCGCCAGAGTGATGCATGTTGCCGTGTCCTGTTAGCTCTCCGAAAGGCCATGAGGTACCTGCAACGCACGGAATGCAGTAGATAGCCATCTACGCAGAAAGTCATCGATTCAGCCAGCCCAGACACTCCAAATCCACGGCGACTCGGCTTTCGTTCGTTATAAATAGGTGTGGCCCATTCGGCTAGACTCTATAGATCAAGTTGGAGCTGCATCCGGAGTTCCGTCTCCTCAACTCGAAAGTTTTTGTGCATGACGCCCGCTAACCACTGACTTCTGTTGATTCTGGCCGTCTTGGTCAGTCGATACCGCACAAACGATTGTTCGTGGCAGGTCTGGCCATTCTTGCCCGGCCTTAGCACTCGCCTGTGGAGCATTCCTTGAGCTAGTGGCACTCGACGGCGAAGTCGTACCAGCCAACGAGCCCGACGTGGACCGTCTGCGGGGGTACGGGGTACTGATCATCTTCGTTGATGGAACGATACACCATCGTGATGCCGTCCGGCGAGGCGTCCTGCATGTGCAACACGTTGAACACGACCGGCACGTTTCGCCGGTGGCCGCTTTCAATGCGGACTTCGACGTAGCTGAGGTTGTCCCCCCATGTGTCGAGAGCCTGCCAAAGTCACGTGGGCTGGCGCACCAGGGGAAGATATGAATGGCGATGCATGTACCGTGGTCTTGCGAACGGCGTGCTTGGGCATGTTGGTCATGACGTTCCACAGAGCTTGCGAGAACAACGGCAGCGGAACCGGCCACGTTCGATTCGAAACAAAGTCGACGTAGTCGGTGTTGATAAATATTTGTGGATTGTCTGACACACTTGCGCCCACGTACGAGCGGATGCAGTCGAGTGCGACGGTTGTCTTGGACAAAAGTTGGCGGAGAAGGAATTCGTACGTGTTGCCGCGGAAGGCTCCGTGGCCGGTCATGCAATGCCGCCTGATGTTCAAGCTCTAGCCAACGGGTTCAGTCGCGAACCGCACAAGATCTCGAGGCATACGATGTGGACAAGAGGAGATGAAGCATCGGATGGCGGTTGGGACGTGGACGTCGGGATTTCGCCGAGTGGAAGCGAGCTGTCTTTGGATGCTTGCTCACACTCGGTGGCGTGATCCGTTGGTTCTGCCGCGCGGATGGATATTTGCCGCGTCGATTTCTGCGTCAATGCCCGCGATGACCTGGCAGACCTAGCACTGAACTGGCTGCGTCCTGACGACCGGATCGAGTTGAACGTGTCTTTGGTCTTGGAGGCGCTATGGCCCATACTCCTATCCGCCGAATTTGCCCACACGAAAGAAACGAAAGTGCATCTCAACGACGACCCTTCGTGCAAAATTAGATTGGAGAGGGGAAGGGTTTGAGATTCTAAATTGGAGAATTGGATCGTGCACCAATGGCCAACCATACACAATATGGCGATGGTGTCCACATCGCTGTATGATAGACAGTCTAGAACCCAACTATAGCCGCAACCACACACTCTCGCACGTTTCAATGCTGCATCGACATCTATCTTTGGTGAGGCACCAAAGAATGTTGTTGCAAATTACGTCAGGAACATGCATGTGCAGATTGCAATACACCATATAGGTGCGGCAAGACAATGCGAGTTCACGTTCAAGAGTGACGGCGCAGTGGCAGCTTGAAACTTGCATTGGGAGTGGCCATGCA